AATAACTGTAAACTTTTGGAATTGGTCCAAACGGTGTGTATGCATAAATAATCCACGAACACCTAGGTGTATGTATATAAAAATGGAATCAGTTGAGAGTGGTGTGTATGATTCCCCGATGTCCTGTATTCCCACCGCTGCCACCGCATGTTTTCCCAATGATCTCTGCAGCGTGGGATGGATCGTGGCTGGTCGATATTCATATCTATGATTTTCGTTTGCGTTTACAGTAACGTTTACGTTTACAGGTTTTAGATGAGTCTTTCTTTATCCTATTCATATCTATGGTGTATATCTTACGCTTACCAGTTTAAAGTGAGCCTTCCGTCCTCTAACCTATTTATATCAATCATATATCTTTCGTTAACCGGTTTAGAGTGATCCCTCCGTCCTTCAATCTATCCATATCTATACTATATCCCCACGTTTGCCGGCTTAAAGTCACCTTTCTGTCGCTTCGCCTATCCTTTGGTTCGTTCGTTTGTACTTCTAACCCCTCTCTCGTCCGCGGCTCTATTCTCCTGTGAGCAGATGGCGAGCTTAGCATTCTGCTGCCCCCCGTTGAAGATGCCTGGGTCTGGCTGCCTGTTCTGTGGCGCAATCTCAATCTGCAGCGGCTGGGCTGTGAGGTAGGTAGATATACCTATATTTGGACATTTTTATGGCGCATTTCCTGATACACCCACTCGACTTTAACGTTGTAAAGGCGATCTCAGTTCCTATGGCGAACGCATGCACTATCTATGTAGTCTGAGCCTCACTCAAGCGCTGATACTTGCTAGTTGTATGCAGTTCCATCGTCCAAAAAGTCAACCCGGTGGCGCCTTATCACTGGTCTAAGTATAATAGTCCGATATACTATAAATAGAACTTAAAAGTATAGTCCCACGACTCTTAGATATTCTGGAAATAGAACTTAGAAGTATAGTCCCACGACTCTTAATTATTCTATAAATAGAACTTAGAAGTATAGTCCCACGACTCTTCGATAATCGATAAATAGAACTTAGAAGTATAGTCCCGCGACTCTTAGTTATTCGATATATATAACATAAAAGTATAGTCCCACGAATCTTAAATATTCTATAAATAAGACTTAGAAGTATAGTCCCACGATTCTTACATATTCTATAAATAGAACTTAGAAGTATAGTCCCGCGACTCTTAGTTATTCGATATATATAACTTAAAAGTATAGTCCCACGAATCTTAGATATTCTATAAATAGAACTTAGAAGTATAGTCCCACGATTCTTAAATATTCTATAAATAGAACTTAGAGGTATAGTTACATGACTCTAAGATATTCTATAAATAGAACTTAGAAGTATAGTCCCACGACTCTTAAATATTCTATAAATAGAACTTAGAAGTATGGTCCCACGACTCTTAGATATTCTATAGATGGAACTTAGAAGTATAGCCCAACGACTCTTAGATATTTTATTAACAGAACTGAGGGATAGGTGAGGCGGGATAGTGGCATCGTAGCCAGATGGGCTGAGGTGATATTGAATAGCCAGGAATAACTGAACCAACCAACCTAGTACTCGGTTGGTTGGATGACTGAACCAACCAGCCTAGTACTCGGTTGGTTGGATGACTGAATCAACCAGCCTAGCACTCGGTTGGTTGGATGACTGAATCAACCAGCCTAGTACTAGGTTGGTTGGTTCAGTCATGCACCAGACCTATTTGTATCTCATGGTGCCCGCTCACACTCACTCACTCACTCACTCACTCACTCACTCAGGCATGTACCTTCGATTGTCCACTCACAGATTGGCAAGGAGAGCCTCCTCGACCCCAACACCAATTGCGCCAACGCATTCTACTTGACCTATGGCATTGCCCCCGCCAATACGATGACAGACACACCCTCGCATCGACACACGCGTACACAGCAAGCACACATATCCGCACACACCCACACACACACACACACACCCACGCACACACACGAGCGAAGACATACACCTGCAGCTGTGTCACCTACATCGCACCCACTGTCGCCCACATACGCACCAGAGCAACACCACAACTCAGACAACACCACCAGCGACGGCGAGTACACTCCTTGGAGACACGCACGCGAGTCCCTCAGCACCAGCGTAGCTACGCTAGGCGGCTACTTCTCGTCACTATCAATCCTATACCTACACACAATCGCGCCCACACCCACCCGGTCACGCTCGGACACCCTTGCACCCGGCCCGGAAAACCTGTACGCAGGTACATACACAAACGAGCACCTGAGCGACCGCACGCGCCGACATACACTGCCGAGTACTACCTTGGTACGGCAGAACACGCATCCCCTCACCACATCCACAGCCCAGGCACAGGTACATGCACAGGCACAGGTACATGCACAGGCACAGACACAGACACTGGCCAATCCAGCCAAGGGACAAAGACACACGCGCACCAGCAAACACACTCAGACACCCAGTACAGCAAGCCCGGGTGCACCCACCGAGACGCACACCCAGGGTCGTGCACCTGTCTCGATCGGTCCCATTGAGAGAGGTTCTGGTGCTGGGGCTGGCTCGGGGGCTGCGGTGGTGCAAGCCACAGCCGCGGGTGTGGCGCTAGAGAAGGCGGTGCGTGAGATTGTGAGAGAGGTACGCCACTATGAACAGTTCGCTTGTGAGCGGGGATTCTGATGTTGAGCTCATGTACGTGTGCTGCTTTAGTTGTTTACGTGCCTGTGATGATTTAGATGTTCATGTGCCTGTGCTGCTTTGGCAATCAAGTCTTGGGTTTGCTGGAGGTGTTTCATAGTATGTATTGTATATACTATGCCACGCAATGTAGACTGATGTGGCTCAGGTGCAGGTGTAATATGAATATGTATTGTATATACTATGCCACGCAATATAGACTGATGTGGCTCAGGTGCTGCGCTTGGGTTAGGGCGCACTTATTAGGCTATCGCTTGCCCACAAGGTAAGCTCAAGGCAACAGACAATGTCCTATCACCCATGTCACCACTTACGTGAAACCTGGTTTAAAGTTAACACTGAGTATATAAACCTGGTTTAAAATCCACATTGGAGCGTAAAAACCTGGTTTTAATAACCATATTTCATGTATTACCCATTCAGATCCAACTATTGTTGCGCCTGCTCGACTATCTCAGCCCGCTGGTGGCCATTGATGGGCTGATTACCGCACCAGTAACCATGGCAACCAGGCAGTTCCAGAAGAAATACAACGAGGAGAGCCGACAGACCCATTTACATACCCTGTCGTCGCCCCTACTTAGGTCTATCAATAGTAAGTCTGCTCTCTACTGTTAGTATGTCTACTCTTTATCAATGGTACGTCCTCCCTCTATATATAGTAACCGTATACTGTACTCATTCTGTGTACTTGAAAAGTTGCGTATGTGCGTGTATGTTACAATTCAACGATGAAATGGTGACTGCAGCGTTGGATATAACGTGCCAATCCAGCACAAAATGAACACGATCAGTTTAACGTTTATTTCAAGGTCCCTCACGGCTTCGGCGGGTGTTTCATCTCCCCTACCTCACGTGTATGAGATATCACTACACTATCACTGTCCACCAACTGGCGTTAGCGTATAGTCCAACTGACGTTAACGAATAGTCTAACCTCGTACGCAGAGCACCGGAAACTCATGGCTCGTCAACGCGAATACACCGAACTCTCTCCACAACCGCATCGGGCGCAGCCAATCGGCGGCTATCAAACATCAGCCACCTGGGCATACACAGACCACAGTGTGCACTCAGGCCAAAGGTTCCCATCCCCACCAAACACGCACCTGCACCCGCACCCAAAAGAAATGGGACATGTGCACCCGCACCCCTCGGAGACTCTGCTGGCCGGGTACGCGGGTTACCGGACAGGCGCACCTGAAGCGGAAATTCGGACCGCCCGTACGGGCGACGGGACAACCGCGCGATTCAGTATGGATTTTGGTAGGGCAAGGGATGGTACGGGGGGCATGCAGCGGTGGACTGGCCACGACCCGATTCTAAATATAGACCCGATCCTGAATCCTGACCCGATTTTAAAAAAGGGATCGGGTTCGAATAGGACACTCCGCCGCAACCAGACCGAATCGGATGTTTATACGAGAACGAACGCACTCACGCGATCGCCCCTACACACTACAGAGGAAGAACCAGACACCAGGCGACCGGTGTCAGTACAAGCACATCGGCACACAGGTAACACCCCCATGTAGCTGTTGTACTTCATGGGTGTATCTGATATTGGGTGGATAAATAAACATGTCTATGGAGACCGCAAGTCTCACACATGTATAAGTAGAAGCAACATAGTACTTAAAATATGGCACTCGCGTGGTCTGTACCCACTTCCCAAAAATACTTGAGAAAACATATTACAAGCGCATACCTGTCCTCCAAGTCCGTGCTCGAGTAGGTGTGTTTGTCGCCCATATGCGTATATTGTCTTAAGTGTGTGTTCCATATGTGTATATCATATATATATATATATATATATAATCACACACACACGCGCGCGGCCCTGTTACTCTAACTAACAAACGCTATATCACGTTCACAACAATATATCCCTATTCGCACACACATTCCACTCAGAGGATACAGACGCACAGTCCGGTGACGAGATTCAGTTCAACCGCCCACATCTGCGCACGGACGGAGTGATGGACATGGCCACACTGACTGCGTTGCGCAATCTCGTGGACATGCACGCCAGACGGCTGAAGGTGTGTACGAATACGCCGTGTTTATATATGAGTATGGAACATATAAGCCATGTGTATATGCGTATGGAACATGTAAGCCATGTGTATATGCATATGGAACATGTAGGCCATGTGTATATGCGTATGGAACATGTAAGCCATGTGTATAGGCGTATGGAACATGTAAGCCATGTGTATATGCGTATGGGACATGTAAGCCATGTGTATATGCGTATGAAACATGTAAGCCATGTGTATATGCGTATGGAATATACAGGAAATGTGTGTATATGCGTAGGAAGATGTTTGTTTGTGCGTTGTGAAAGCTGTCTGTATCAATACACAGGCCGTACGCGATACATTTGTTGGGTTATGTTTACAGCTTGCGGATGACTATCCGCTGTCTCTGTGTGGATGTATGAGAATATGAAAGGGTATACGTATGTTCCCATATGTGAGAGACTTCGCTCCAACTTTTCGTATTTCTTACCCAGCTCCCACTCGCATCGAGGCTGTGTGTGCGCATACGTATATCTTTTTCGAGAGTGTTCGTATATTATATATATATATATATATCAAAGTGTACGTATATATATCAGTGTATGTGCATATATATCAGAGTATATATATATATATATATATATATCATAGTGTATACGTATATATATGTATATATATATATCATTGTGTATGTATATATATTTCATTGAGTACGCATATATATCATAGAGTGTATGTATATATATTTGTCATAGAGTGTACGTATTTATATATCTATTGTATGTATATATATACATATATATATATAAATATCATAGTATACGTATATATATATATGTATATTTATCATAGCGTGTACGTATATTTATATCATAAGAGTGTACGTATATATATATCATAGTGTACATTATATGTATATATTTATATACCAAAGTGTCTGTCCGTCTGTGATTCTCACCTTTAATACAAATGATCAGCTTTTCCTGTATCAATTCCTGATTGATTGTCCACTATTGTCCCGTCGTGGTCAGTTATTTCTTTCTCAATTCCTGATTAATTGTCCACTGTTGTCCCGTCCGTGGTCAATTATCCCGTTAGTAATTCCTGATTAATTGTCCACAATTGTCTGGTCTTTCGTCACAGACTCTGGGGTTGTCAGTGATGAGCATTCAACATCCGACGCATCACTACCGGGCGGTGATTGGTATGTGACAATGGATGATTGTACTGCCACTGTGTGGTGCAATATGAACTAACTCGTGCCGAAATTCAAATATATATATGTATATATATATATGTATATATATATATATATATATGTGTGTGTGTGTGTGTATGTGTGTGTATGTGTCGTCCGTGTCTCTGTGTGTGTGTGTGT